CTCCCAACACTAACATTCTCCAACCCTACCACTCCATCATTAACACTCCAACCCACCACTAACACTCTCCAACACTAACACTCTCCAACACTAACCTCTCCAACACTAACACTCTCCACCACTAACACTCTCCACCACTAACACTCTCCACCACTAACACTGTCCAACACTAACACTCCTCCACCACTGACACTCCTCAACACTAACTAACACTAACACTCTCCAACACTAACACTCTCCAACACTAACACTCTCCAACACTAACATTCTCCAACCCTAACACTCTCCATCATTAACACTCCAACCCACAACTAACACTCCCACCACTAACACTCTCACCTACCTCCAACACTAACACTCTCCAACACTAACATTCTCCAACCCTACCACTCTCCATCATTAACACTCCAACCCACCACTAACATTCTCCAACTAACACTGTCCAACACTAACACTCTCCACCACTGACCTCTCCAACACTAACACTCCTCCAACACTAATACTCTCCAACACTAACACTCTCCACCACTAACATCTCCAACACTAACACTCTCCAACACTAACACTCTCAACACTAACATTCTCCAACCCTACCACTCTCCATCATTAACATTCAACCCACTACTAACACTCTCCAACACTAACACTCTCCAACACTAACATTCTCCAACCCTACCACTCTCCATCATTAACACTCCAACCCACCACTAACACTCCCCAACACTAACTCCTCAACACTAATACTCAACAATAACAATCTCCAACACCAACATCTCCATCAGAACATCTCCACCACTAACACTCCATCTTCCCACTAACACTCCCCAACACTAACACTCTCCAACACTAATACTCCAACAATAACAATCTCCAACACTAACACTCTCCATCACGAACTCTCCTCCACCACTAACTCTCCATCATTAACACTCCACCACTAACACTCTCCAACACTACCACTCTCCACCAAAACCACTCACCCATCACTAACACTCTCAACACAAACACTCTCCAACACTAACACTCTCCATCACTAACCTCCCCAACACTAACACTCTCCAACACTAATACTCTCCAACAATAACAATCTCAACACGAACACTCTCCATCACTAACACTCCCCAACACTAACACTCTCCCACTCATATACCTTCAACAATCTCAACACTAACACTCTCCAACACTAACACTCTCCAACCATCACACTCCAACCCACCACTAACATCCATCACTCAACATCTCCAACACTAACATCTCACAATACACTGTCCATCACTACCACTCTCCAACACTAACACTCTCCATCAATAACACTCCAACACTACCACTCTCCAACACTAACACTCTCCATCAATAACACTCCAACACTAACACTCTCCAACAATAACACTCTCCAACACTAACACTCTCCATCACTAACACTCTCCAACACTAACCTCTCCATCACTAACACGTTTCATCACCACTACACTCTCCAACACCAACACTCTCCAACAATAACATTCTCCATCACTAACACTCTCCATCACTAACACTCTCCATCACTAACACTCTCCATCACTAACACTCTCCATCACTAACACTCTCCATCACTAACACTCTCCATCCACTCTCCATCCCCAACATTCTCCATCCCCAACATTCTCCATCACTAACGCTCTCCATCACTAACACTCCCCAACACTAACACTCCCCAACTACTCTCCATCACTAACACTCTCCATCACAACCTCTCCATCACTACTCTCCACTAACACTCTCCCATCACTAACACTCTCCATCCCTAACTCTCCATCACTAACACTCTCCATCATAACATCTCCAACAATAACACTCCCCAACACTAACACTCTCCATCACTAACACTCTCCATCACCAACACTCTCCATCACCAACACTCTCCATCACTAACACTCTCCATTACTAACACTCCCCAACACCTAACACTCTCTATCACTAACACTCTCTATCACTAACCTCTCCATCACTAACCTCTCCATCACCTTACTCCCAACACTAACACTCTCCATCACTAACCTCTCCATCACTAACCTCTCCATCACTAACACTCTCCATCACTAACTCTCCATCACTAACCTCTCATCACTCACTCTCCATCACTAACACTCTCCAACAATAACTCCCCAACCTCTTACTCTCCATCACTAACACTCTATCACTAACACTCTCCATCACTAACACTCTCCATCACTAACTCAACAATAACTCCCCAACACTAACACTCTCCATCACTAACACTCTCCATCATACCCACTAACACTCTCCATCACTAACACTCTCCATCACCTAACACTCTCCATCACCAACACTCTCCATCACTACATCTCCATCACTAACCTCTCCATCACCTAACACTCTCCATCACCAACCTCTCCATTACTAACCTCCCCAACACTAACACTCTCCATCACTACCTCTCCATCACTAACACTCTCCATCACTAACACTTCCATCACTAACACTCTCCATCACAACACTCTCCATCACCAACACTCTCTCCATCACAACCTCTCCATCACCAACACCTCTCCATCACTACTCTCCTCCTACCACTCTCCAACACTAACATTCTCCCCACTACTCTCCATCACTAACACTCTCATCATTAACACTCTCCATCACTAACACTCTCCATCACCAACACTCTCCATCACCAACACTCTCCATCACTAACACTCTCCAACACTATCTCCATCACTAACCTCTCCATCACCAACACTCTCCATCACCAACACTCTCCATCACCAACACTCTCCATCACTAACGCTCTCCATCACTAACACTCCCCAACACTAACACTCCCCAACACTAACACTCTCCATCACTAACACTCTCCATCACTAACACTCCCCAACACTAACACTCTCCATCACTACCACTCTCCAACACTACCACTCTCCAACACTAACATTCTCCATCACTAACACTCTCCATCACTAACACTCTCCAACACTAACATTTTCCATCACTACCACTCTCCAACACTACCACTCTCCAACACTAACATTCTCCATCACTAACACTCTCCATCACTAACACTCCATCACTAACACTCCATCACCAACACTCCAACACTAACACTCCCATCACTACCACTCCCCAACACTAACATTCTCATCACCAACACTCCAATACCAACATTCTCCATCACCACCACTCACTACCACTCCAACTCCAATACTAACATTCTCCATCACCAACACTCCATCACTACCACTCCCCAACACTAACATTCTCCATCACTACCACTCCCCAACACTAACATTCTCCATCACTAACACTCTCCAATACTAACATTCTCCATCACTAACACTCTCCATCACTACAACTCTCCATCACTAACACTCTCCATCACTAACACTCCATCACTACCACTCTCCAACTCTCCAATACTAACATTCTCCATCACTAACACTCTCCATCACTACCACCCCCAACACAACATTCTCTACACCAACACTCATCACAAACATTCTCCATCACTAACACTCCATCACTACCACTCTCCATCACTAACACTCCAACTCCAATACTAACATTCTCCACCAACACTCCATCACCAACACTCCATCACCAACACTCCATCACTAACTTCCAACTCTCCAATACTAACATTCTCCATCACTAACACCTCCATCACCATCACCAACACTCCATCATCACTAACACTCCATCACTAACACTCCATCACCAACACCACTACCAACACTCCATCACCAACACTCTCCAACCTCCAATACTAACATCTCCATCACTAACACCCATCACCAACACTCCATCACCAACACTTCCATCACCAACACTTCCATCACCAACACTCATCACAACACTTCCATCACTAACACTCCATCACTCTCATCACAACACTCTCCATCACTAACACTCCATCACTAACACTCTCCATCACTAACACTTCCATCACCAACATTTCCATCACTAACACTTCCATCACTAACACTTCATCACTAACACTCTCCATCACTAACACTCTCCATCACTAACACTCTCCATCACTAACATTCTCCATCACTAACACTCTCCATCACTAACACTCTCCATCACTAACACTCTCCATCACTAACACTCTCCATCACTAACACTCTCCATCACTAACATTCTCCATCACTAACACTCTCCATCACTAACACTCTCCATCACTAACATTCTCCATCACTAACACTATTGAGAAATCCGCCTGCGAGAGAGGTTTAGGAGTAATGATAAGTAGGAATCTTAAGCCAAGTAAAGAATGTGTATTTGCTCGAAACAAAGCTAACAAAGTTACTTGCGTTCATACAAAGGAGTGTTAGTTACAAGACTAGCGAGGTTATCTTCAGACTATATCTTGCGCTTGGACTCACAAGACTAATCCCGGGCATTAGGAACCTTGAGTACAGAGACAGGTTAAAGCATCTTAATTTGCACTTCCTCGAGAGACGTAGAGCGAGGGGCGACCTGATAGAGGTGTTTAAGTGGAAGGCAGGGTTAAACAAAGGACATTACAAAGGTACTCAAACTATCCAACCAGGAGCGAACTCGTAACAATGGTTTTAAATTAGACAAATTTAGATTTAGGCGCGAAATAGGTAAACATTGGTTTGGAAATAGAGTAGTGGACGACTGGAACAAGTTAACAAATATCATCATTAACTCGAATACGTTGGATAGCTTCTGGCATAGGTTGGTTGGATATATGAGCAATATGGGTTGGGTGTAAATGGGACTGCCCAGTATGGGCCAATAGTCTCCTGCAGTTTCCTCCATTCTTATGTTCACTCTCCAACACTAACACTCTCTACTACTAGCACTCTCCATCACTAACACTCTCCAACACTAACACTCTCCAACACAAACATTCTCCATCACTAACATTCGCTAACACTAACACACCAACACTAAAATTCTCCAACGCCAAAACTCTCCCACACTAAAACTCTCCAACACTAATACACCAACACTAACACTCTCCACCACTAACACTCACCATCGCTCTCCCATGTGTGTGTGTGTGTGTGTGTGTGTGTGTGTGTGTGTGTCTGTCTGTATGTCTGTCTATCTGTGTGTGGATGGTGGAAACGAAGAAGTTTCAATTGTCTTCCAACTTCTCCCAACCACATTATGTCCACTGCCCAATCTAATCTTGGTAATTCAGTAAGAATGGGTATACTTAAGGTACAGTATAGTAATAACTTGGTAGGCTACTATAAGAGTGAAGGACGAGACATCTGATACTGTAATGGGGATTCAGTTATACAATAATTTTTCCTGTCATTATATTACAAAAGAAATATATAATGAATCTGGTATATGTTCAGTCGTTATTTCAGTTAATTCCCCCTCGTCTGTCAGTGATGTATTGATTATGCAGCTGTATTTGTGTGTGTTATATATGTTCAGCCTCAGATCAAATTGTTCGACACAGAGCTCCACACTTTATCAATTATTAAGACAGGAACATACAGGAAAAATACAGACTTCTCTTTTTGTTTCCCACTTCCTCAGTTTCATCTTGTTTCTGGTACAGTAAGAGTTATGGCACAAAAGCTGTTACTACACATGCAAGATCTACATTACGTTCATTTGAAAAGTTTCCCATCCAACCGGTACGACCTGTTACAACAATGGCAAACTTCTAAAACAATATTATCTTGTGTTCCAGTATAATGTTTTAATGGTTGAGGTCATTTCATCCTCCTGTAATGATAATAATAATGATAAAATATTACAAATTTCATAATATAATAGCTACCCAGACGACCTTTTAATGAGTGGAGAGTTGTCGTCTTGGGTAAACTGGTCCAGGGTGTCTCATACAGTAACATGGAACTGGGTTTAGGAATCGTCACCCCGGAGAGATTGACTTAACGTCCCAAACGATATCTTAGAGTTGGGTTTGGGAGGTGTCTCCTTGATTGGAATGACCCACACTATCAGGTCCATCAGTCAAGCTAGAGTCCTCACCAATAGAAGATTCAGACAGATTGCTTCTCATCCTCGTGTAGTACTTGACATGATGCTTCATGAGGCCTGTGTCCTCAGCTGCCTCCTCCTTCCTCCAACACAGCAGACATTTAAGACGCTGGACCAAACTCTGTTCAGCTGTGAAAAGAAAATTAATAAAGAGAAGGAATTTAATGAGAAATGATAATGAAAGAAAGATGAAACAAGTGAAATGACAGTACGAGTGACGGTGATAAAGGTGAGGAGAATGGGAATGTTACTGAAGAAGAGTTTTATAATAGCAATAATATAAATGTTATTCATGAGAATTTACTTTTTACTGGGTATTTGGTGTTGTATTTGCGTATCTGGGTGGTTAGCAGCGCTTCTATATCGCCCAGCATTAAGTTACTGCTATTAGGGTGTGTGTCATAGGAGGGAAGATCAGCTAAAACTAATGGCCCATCACTTTTTTGGTAGATTTTAGTGTATATAAACAGAAAATAATTTCAGTTTCAATATTTTGCAACCTTTAGAAATTTTAGCGTGAAATTTATCGAAAATCTAACGTACAGCTGCATTAGTGCATTACAATTAAATAATGAACATTGCTTTCTGACTTCATTCTTTAACAACCCAACTAACAATATTTTGTTCTGTTTCAGATTCTGATGCATTTATAAGTTGATAATATTTTGCGATGGCTGCTTGTGTCAGGACGAGAACCAAAATCCAGCCATCTCAGTCACTATCTTGGGTCTGGGAGAGAGCTCCTGAAGTCGGAGTTGCCTACATTGAGAGATGCTTTGAGATACGGTGTTTTAATCAGCAAATCAGTGAAAGAACCAAAGAACTTACACAAACAAAGACATTGCCAGTGATATGACCAAAGCTGTCTTGGCACAGTACACTCTGGCTAACGCTCAGTTCAAGCCTCCAGTCATAACAAGTCAGAAGAAGATTAGTGAGAGACTGCTAGCCAGTTGGGAGCAAGAGATATCTCTTGGGAGAGAAAACTTGCAGTTATGACAGCTTTGAAACAACTGGACCAGTTATTTGACATAATCACTTGCAAGTGCCCAATTGTTCTCTGTCCTGAGTTTGATGCGATACTGTAAACTGAGGCCCACATCTCCCTAGATTTGCAAGCGTGAACTGAAGATTCTCAGATCGAACTGGCATTTGTCAGCTACAGAGAGAAGGACGGCAGTATAGGGCTCTATGATTTTAGCTAAGATATTCTGGAGTCCAAGAGACAGGAGGCTGCCACAGAGAGACAGAAGAGGAGAAGAGTTGCGAGGAAAAGAGACTTGAGAAGGCCCAGGTGAGGTAAAAGGCCGATGATAGGAAAGATATCTCGAGCATAGTTTCCGCCAGCATGCGACACCACACTGGTCTCAGAGAAACTGCAGAGACAGCAACAGCTGCCTGGATTACTGCGGGTTTGATACCTGGATGATGTTCACCCTGGTGATAGACTCACAACAAAGCATGGAGAGCTCTGTGAGAAACTTGGTTGCACCTTAGAAGAGGAGCTTGATAAGGGATAAGAGAAATGGAATCACCTGTTTGTTCTTTGATGGGAGAAAGGATGATACCAAAGTGTTCATGAAAGTTGGAGATTCTGACAAGTTGTTCCTTGCCATGGTGAAGGAGGAACACTACTCCTGCTGCACTGGTGCAGTGAACCAGGAGGGAAGTATTTGTGGCATTTCACTCCAGAGAAAGATGACATCAGGAAACCAGCTGAGATAGTGGCAGATAACATTGTGAACTGGCTCAGAGAGAGGAACGTAGACCAGACCCTGCAGGCCATTGGAGGGGACAGCACCAATACGAACACAGGGTGGCAAGGGGGGGGTCATACAGTGGATAGAGCGGAAGATTGGGAGGAAGCTGATCCTGGATTGTTTGTGACCTCCTGCAACGAGTTGCCACTCAGACATCTAGTCCAGGGCTGGATGGCAAGACTCTTTCCAAACAACAGATGGTCTGAATCCTCTTGGCAAAGATGCTGGACTCTGCCACTGAGTTAGAAATAAATCCGAGCTTTGAAAAAATCACAGTTGGCCCTCCACTCGTTGAGCTTGCACATACTGTCATTGACGACCTGAGTACTGACCAGTACTATGGTTACATGATTTGCAGTGCCATCAAAACTGGGGTCATGCCTGATAGACTTACTTACCTGCAGATAGGTCCAGTCTCACATTCTAGGTGGCTCACAACGGCTCTCAGGTTCTGCAGAATTTGGGTCGCTCATCATAAACTGAAAGGGAACCAACTTCACAACCTGAGACTTATTGTCCAATTCATCGTGAGTGTCTACTTGCCAAATTGGTTCAACACTAAGGTCAAGTCATCGTTCTCCGAAGGTCCGAGGCATGTTCTCTTCCAGCTTGAGCTCCTGAGGAGTCAGCCAAGGAAGGTTGTTCAGATTGTGGAGCAGACTGTGAGGAGATCTTCCTGGTATACTCATCCCGAGGCAGTTCTGCAGACAATGCTCTGCAGTAAGGATGAGGAGGAGGGAAGAGTGGCAGTCAAAAAGATCTTTGATATCAGACTTATGAGAGGATCTGGAGCGCTGAACGATCAGTTGGTGACGATTCCTTCAGGGTCAGGAGAATACTGAAGTCAATCTAGGTGCCAAGACCCTCACTGATCTCATAGATCTGGATAACATCCAGGCTGGCAGTGGTGTGAGCCCCTGCTTACCTGCAGCCCCACCAATGTTCAAGTCAGGGCTTTCCTGGACAACCCCATGCATGTCCCTGCTGGCCCTCGCACACCCAGAGTATAGAGCGTTGTGTACAGCAAGTGAGCGAGGCCAGCAGTCACGTGTACAGCCAGGAGAGGAGGGAAGGCTACATCCGAGCTCAGGTGGTCAGCAGGGAGGTGATGAGTAGAAACAGAAGCAAGAAAGACATGTTCTCTATGGTGTGCAGCAATACCGGGTCGTAGTAGTAAAACCGGTTTTTGTATTTGATGATTTTGTTTTCTAAAGGAATATTAAATTTAATAAATGTGTCAAGATCATTCGTTTCACTATTCTGGATCATTTTCATCCTAATAAATTAACCTGATACATTTACTTTACTTTAAATAAGCTATTTAGTGGTGTTGGTAAAAGGGTGGGAATACTGAATTTTCATAAGATTTCAAGTTAAAATTTACCTAGCAAAAAATGAAAACTGTTCTAATATGAAGATATCACATGATCCTGCACATAGAACTACATCATTAATACCATGGGCCGATGTTTCAAACTCAAAAAAAAAAAATTCGCCTCCGTATGACACACCCTACTGGGTTATGGTCCGGGCCACTGCATGACTTACAGGACTGGCGGGTGATGCTCTGGGCCACTAGGTAGAGTAGTAAATACACCACGAAGCTGATCAGTGTCATCACTACGCCAGCCACCAACAATGTAGCAGGACCTACAGCCGTGAATCCCTGCAATATGCCAAAGAAAGTGAGTCTCTTAGGGTTACAGATAAAGACAAACTGAAATGAGAGTAATACTAAAGGGAGAGAAAGGTAAGAGGGAATTAGGGACTGGGATGTGGCAAATAAACAGGTGTGACAGTAACTAAATATGGCTGGAGTGAGACAGCCAGATGGAGAAACAAGCAGTGAAGCAGATACTGTACCGCTATAAGACATACATTTAAGAACATAAGAACATAAGAATGGAGGAAACTGCAGCGGGCCTATTGGCCCATACTGGGCAGTTCCGTTTACACCCAACCCCTATTGCTCATATAAGCATCCAACCTATGTTTGAAGCTATTCAGCGTATTCGAGTTAATGATGATATTTGGTAACTTGTTCCATTCATCCACTACTCTGTTTCCAAACCAGTGTTTACCTATTTCACACCTAAATCTAAATTTGTCTAATTTAAAACCATTGTTACGAGTTCGCTCCTGGTTGGATAGTTTGAGTACCTTTGTAATGTCCCCTTTGTTTAACCCTGCCTTCCACTTAAACACCTCTATCAGGTCGCCCCTCACTCTACGTCTCTCGAGGGAGTGCAAATTAAGATGCTTTAACCTCTCTCTATACTCAAGGTTCCTAATGCCCGGGATTTGTCTTGTCATTCTCCTCTGAATTCTTTCCAAGGATTCTATATCCATTCTGTAATACCGTGACCAGAACTGAATTGCGTAATCCTGGTGTGGTCTCACAAGAGCAAGATACAGTTTTAGGATGACCTCGCTAGTCTTGTAACTAACACTCCTTTGTATGAACCCAAGTACTTTATTAGCCTTGTTACGAGCAAAAACACATTGTTTACTTGGCTTAAGGTTCCTACTTATCATTACTCCTAAATCTCTCTCGCAGTCGGATTTCTCTATGGCATCGTTGTTCATCTGGTATCTGGTTTCCCTGTTTACATCTCCTATACTGAGTACTTTACATTTGTCCACGTTGAATTTCATCTGCCATTTTTCAGACCATTCGAAAAATTTGTTTAGATCTTCCTGTAGTTTTGCAGAGTCCTCGTCAGATTTAATAATGCGTCCTATTTTAGTGTCGTCAGCAAATTTGTTTATGTTGCTGTCTATGCCGATATCTATGTCGTTTATGTATATAATAAATAATAATGGTCCAAGTACTGAGCCTTGGGGAACTCCACTTGTGACGTTGCTCCAATGGGACTTAGTGCCATTAATGCTGACTCCCTGTTTCCTGTCCTGTAACCATGCCCTAATCCATTTAAGGATATTACCTTTGATGCCATGTGGTTCTACCTTTCTAATTAGTCTTTCGTGGGGGACTCTGTCGAAGGCTTTGCTAAAGTCGAGATATACCACATGATAATTGTGCCCCTCGTCCACCGATTCGAAAGCTGATGAAAAGAATGTTAATAGATTAGTTAGACATGAACGTCTGCTTGTGAAGCCATGCTGGGAATCATTGATCAATCGGTGCTTCTCCAGGTGATTTCGAATAGAGTTTGAAATGATTGCCTCCAGTAATTTGCCTACTATTGATGTTAGACTGATTGGACGGTAGTTAGAGGGTGGTGATTTATCCCCCTTCTTGAAAATCGGTATTACATTCGCTATCCTCCAGGATTCTGGTACTACACCTGTTTTTAAGGACATGTTAAACAACTTTGCTAAGGGCATACTAAGCTCTTCCTTACATTCCTTTAATACTCTGGCAAATATCTCATCAGGTCCAGGTGACTTATTAGGCTTTAGTTTGTCTATTTGCTTACTAACATCGTTACTAGTCACTACTATCTCGCTTAATTTGTGCCCCGGGTATCATGTTTAAATTTTCGGTGGTGAAAACTGTTGAAAAATATTTATTCAAATTATTGCTCATTTCTCTGTCGTTATCAGTGAGTTCGCCGGTATCTGACCGTATTGGTCCAATCTTTTCTCGTGTTTTAGTTTGATACATTTGGTAGAATCCTTTGGGGTTTGTCTTCGCCTCCCTTGCTATCCTTACCTCATTATTCCTCTTGGCTTTCCTTATCTCGGTTTTAACCCAACTCGCCAATACCCTATAATAATCCCGGAGGTAAGGACAAGAGAGAGGCACAGAATCAGACAGTGTGCAGGGATGGGGAAAACACTAACTTTAATTAAACACTAGGGTAAGGAACATACTTGACTTAGGGGAACACTGTAGTGAGGCAGATGTAAGAAAAGCTGGAGTTAGGGAGAGAATTACCAAGCCAAATCGGTGTGAGGGACAAGTTAGGATGGTAGTGAACGTAAGGTGAAAAACCTCAAGATTTACAGACACATTGATAATCCTGCGACATTTTTATTTTCTTATATCTGTTCTTCCAATAGTTAACAAACATTCATTTATCGGTGATCCATCTCTGCTGAGAAATTACATTATCTAGCACTTTAATATTATTGTTACAGTAGGCCATGGACTCTTTATGGTTAAGAAAAGCTTAAATGAAAATACCCCTTCATGATTATTGTCTTTCATCATACTGACTTACTCTCAGACAGGACCAGGCAAATTTCTATTTTTTTTAGTTACAGTTCTCTCTAATAGTCGGATTTATATTTATTTATCATTCCTAATGCACAGAATTTAGTTTTGAGATATAAAATACTAAAAAAATATCTCCTAAATCTGTGACCTGAGATGACCCTGAGTGTGTGACTTGTGACTTAGTGACCTGTGATGACTCTGAATGTGTTGACCTGAAACTTACGTGACCTATGATGGTCCTGAGTGTGTGACCTGTGACTTACGCGACCTATGATTACCCTGAGAATGTGACGTGAGACTTACGTGACCTATGATGACCCTGAATATGTGTCCTGAAACTTACGTGACCTATAATGACCCTGAATGTATTACCTGTGAATTACTTAACCTATAATAACCCTGAATGTATGACCTGAGACTTTTGTGACCTGTGATAACCCTGAGTGTGTGACCTGAGGCTTACGTGACCTGTGATAACCCTGAGTGTGTGACCTGAGACTTACGTGACCTATGATGACTGGGATGATCATCTCCCCCGAGGCTGCCGTTACCACCAGCGCACTTGTTATGAAGGCTGAAATAATGTATAGAAGTCAGGGGTTAAAGTGGCCATCTCTTAAAGTGGCCATCTGTTTAGGTGGCCATCTATTAAAGTGACCATATGTTAAAGTGGCCATCTGTTAAAGTGGTTATCTTTTAAAGTGGCCATCTGTTAAAGTGGTCATTTATTAAGTGAACATCTACTTAAGTAGCCAAGTGTTAAAGTGGCCAAATGTTAAAGTGGCCATTTGTTAAAGTTGCCATCTATTAAAGTGGTCATCTACTAAGTGAACATCTACTTTAGTGGCTATCTGTTTAAGTTGCCATCTATTAAAGTGGTCATCTATTTAGTGAACATCTACTTAAGTGGCCATATGTTAATGATAAAATGATGCAATAAGAACTACCATGCTCTGAAAACAGCAAAGGACGCCACAATGCTTCTCGAAGAAATCTATTAAATGTTTCCTTAAGACAAACATTGAAACTTTCATAGTAAGGATTCACATATTTTCCAGTCACACTTTATAGTCTACAGTATATTGAAATATACATATTCATGGTCATTATACAGTATATACACATTCATGGTTATCAAATAAGGGGGCCTATGCACATTTATGGTCACTAAATATACACATTCATGATCATAATAAATATACACATTCATGGTCATAATATATACACATTCTTGGTCATAATATATAAACATTCTTGGTCATCATATGTATACACCCATGACTATTGAAAATAGACATCCACGGCTACTATATATTTACATTCATGAACCACAAAATATACACATCCATGATCACCAGTTAAATACATCCATGCTTTAAAATTTTCAAAATAAAATTACCCAATTCTGCCATTGCCCACACTGTACCACTACCAGATCATATCACTAGCCAGAATATTGTCGATTTTTCATCCCCAGTATATATATATATATATATATATATATATATATATATATATATATATATATATATATATATATATATATATATATATATATATATGCAAATAAATCACTGTAGGTGCGCGTGATCCATGTACAGTATATGCTGATAACCACAAGGAAACAAGAAAACACAAAGCTCCCAAGCGCTTTCGTGTAATTCACATCTTCAGGGGTGAATACAGACAAAGGAGCAATTATTGACAAGGCTAATTAATATATACAGTACAGTAAAGGAGAGTGAGATCCAGTCCGTAGGGGACAGCAGGTGTCCACTATATTCTGGTCATAAAGTAGTGACCCAACCCTTTCACCTGGTTACAAATCTTGTTATACACAAAATTATCCAGTTTGTACAAACCATTACTCAAATTCATGTTGACAGATTCGGTATATTTAATGAGACTAGATTCTATAATGCTCCTACTGACAATTGAATTACAAGGTAATATTGAGGAGGCATTATCCCAGTCAATTCAATGCTTATTATCCCCCATATGAATGAACAAAGCATTGGATTCCTGGCCTGTCCAAACACTATATTTATGCTGTTTAAGTCTTATAAGATCTGTACCCGTCTGGCCTTAGTGAAAGATATTACATTCCTTGCAAGGAACCTTGTAAATGCAGCCACCTGCATTGCTGGAGGAATTCTTAATTAACATTTGTTTTACAGTGCATGAATTACTAAATGTTACATTTACGTTCCAGGTTTTCAGTTGAAGAGGAATTTGAGAGAAATTTTTGTTAAATGGTAATACTAAGAGATTCTTACTGTCATGGGGAGGTTTAGGATCGGTTCTATAAAAAGATTTAATCGCGATGTTAAGGCAGTTGTCTATAAAAGAACTAGGGTATTTTAAGTTCAAACCAATATTATAGATATATTTATATTCCTCATCAATGAATTCCGGACTGCATATTCGTAGAGCACGTAAAAACATTGATGAGAATATTGACTGTTTGACTATTATGTGTGGATCAAACAGTCTACTAATGGTAGTTTGCAGTCTGTACTCACCCCAGAAGATGTGAATTACACGAAAGCGCTTGGGAACTTCGTGTCTTCTTGTTTCCTATGTGTGTGTTACGGCTCTTTTGCCATATCGGTTATTTTGCAAAATAACTTACAAACAGACAACCTAAACTAACCTAACCTTATGGTTAGGACAGCACATAGTCCAAAGTTAAAAAAAAGAACAAAACCACTTAACTGTGTATCAAGCTACACGAGCCATCCTAACCTAGCCTAACCTAACGTAACCTAACCTAACCTAAACTTATTCAACCATAAGGTTAGGTTAGTTTAGGGTGTCTGTTTGAAAGTTATTTTGTAAAATTTCCAATATGCATGTCAGTCATTTTTGCAAAATAACCGTTTCTGCCCCCAAAAAACGTTAACCACAGACAGACATTTAGCGACCATCGATCACAATTTTGAATCGAAAAAATGGCACAGGAAAAAAAATGGCACAGGAAAAAAAATGGCACAGGAAGAAATGGCAATAGGAAAATATGGCACCGGAAAAAAGGTATAATCATCAGACAAGGAAAAAATGGCACATTTATTTTTATTGACATGTTTTCGCTAAAATTTTATAACCTAACCTAACCTATGCACGCCGTAGTTCATTAGCTCGTTTGTGGTTCGAGAGGTCCTTAGCTCGTTAGCGCGAGCTAAGTGGTTCCGTGAGCTCGAAGTGAAATTTGCTGCGCCAATTTTCCTAGTATGAAAATTGTGCCATTTTTCCTGTGCCATTTTTTCTGGTGCCATTTTTTCAGAGTACCTTTTGAATCCTATCATTGTGCTTGTGTACTTTTTCATATATTGATGGGTTAAATTCAATTATCTTTCTCAAGCAGACTGAGTGTCCCAACTGCCCAGCCGAATACTTTAATAGAGATTTGAAATACTCTAAACATTATTGAAGATAGTTTACTTACCCCTTGTGTACGGGTTCCCCTCTCTGCTGAATAAAATCGTTTGGCGTAAGCCAAATAAAATTTTAAAAGTGGCGTCCCCGTAGTGAAGGGATTAAACTTGCATCTTCTCAACAATTACACAACGCGATTGAACGAAATCTTTGTTTTTACTCATCAAAATCAAGGCAACCCTGAATATAGTATAACCTGAGTATAATATATTGACACAGTTCGTGGTCTATACACCATAACAGACTTGCAGCCTGGTAGACGTCTCCTTGTGGCTACTGCAGTAAGATATAACTAACACAAAACAGTAGCATAAAATATATGTACAAGACCCTAACACATGTCTCGATACAATTCCTGAACACATAAATAATAATAAAAAAAAGTATGGATCTTGATATGATATTTCAGATTTTTCAGATTTTTCTCCGCGTAGGAACAGAGGCTAGTAAATATAGATTTTGTTTTTATTTGCCCCGCGAGGGCGGCTAGTTTATTGCATCCTGTGCAAGGCGAAGCGCAAAAGCGTTTACAGTGCCCAAAAAGGAAGTTCTAAAGTGTGACCCCAACGCATGACCCCAGATTCATGGTCTCTAAAGGTCACGAAAAGATGCTAGTTCAGAACATTACATTAAAACGTTCGTGACGCTTCATGTAAGATGAAAAAATTCCTCATTCTAACATGACACTAACATTAACACCATCAGCCAGATAGCCATCAGTACTAACGCATCACTATCAGCATACACCCCACACTCTCACCCCGCCGTGACAGGTAAACACAGGTGACTGAGGCAGGTAACTCACAGGTAACGTGGATGTAAGTTTCGGCGAGGGTGACAGCCGTAGGGTAGACGGAAGAGAGGAATGTGCCAAAGATACAGGTGCCCAGATACAGAACGGCATGGCTATGACGAAATGACAACATCAGCACCATCGCCACTAGGCAACCGCTCTGTAATGCCACGGCTATCAGTACTCATATATCGTGATATTCATGACTTTCAAAGGGGCTCTGAAAGATCACAGTTCATGAGGGCTCTGTAGGGTCAATGTTCATGGGGGCTCTGTATGGTTATTGTTCATGAGGGCTCTGTATGGTTATTGTTCATGAGGGCTCTGTAGGGTCAAGGTTCATGAGGTCTCTGTACGGTCAATGTTCATGAGGGCTCTGTATGGTCACGGTTCATGAGGGCTCTGTATGGTCACGGTTCATGAGGGCTCTGTATGGTCGAATGTTCATGAGGGCTCTGTACGGTCAGTGTTCACGAGGGTTCTGTGCGGTCACTGTTCATGAGGGCTCTGTATGGTCACGGTTCATGAGGGCTCTGTATGGTCGAATGTTCATGAGGGCTCTGTACGGTCAGTGTTCACGAGGGTTCTGTGCGGTCACTGTTCATGAGGGCTCTGTATAGTCAATGTTCATGAGGGCTCTGTAGGATCACGGTTCATAAGTGTTCTGTAAGGTCACGGATCATGAGGGCTCTGCAAAGTTTGTTCATGAGGGTTCTGTATGGTCAATGTTCATGAGGGCTTTGTAGGGTCAGTGTTCATGCGGGTTCAGTAAGGTCGTGGTTCATGAGGGTTCTGCAAGGTCACGGTTCATGATAACATCCGGAAATTGTTAAATGGGTAAGACTGTAAATATTTATCTGAAGAAAAACGTATTATCAAACGGCACAAAAATATTGATTATTTCTGTTCATACGATTTACTTCTTCCACACGGATCACGTGAAGATAGACAGCTTATTTCACCTGAATATTAACCACACTAAGACTATGTAGGTTAGGTTAAGTTAGGTTAGGCTAGGTAAGGGTAGTTTAGGTTAGGTTAGGTTTGGCTGGGTTAGGTTGATTTTAGGGTGAAATAAGCTGGTGTGTTTAATCTTCAGGTGGTTCTCCCAAAAAATTTAATTTCCGCATATGAATGTAATTTGCCTGACAACTATATAACCGGGTGAGTTACTTAAGATTGATTTTATTATTCTATTATTTCTCTGTCCTTTTATTGATGTTCTTTTGTTTTGGATTGAGGGGAATGTTTGTTTTATTACCTTATGAATGAATCGGCGAGGAATTAAAACAAAGAGTAGCTAAGGGGAAAGAATAAAGAATAATAATAAGTATAAGAGAAATTTATCAAAAGAGGAGAAGAATTTCACTTATCCACATCTCACTACGAAAAGAAAATGTTTAACTTTTAAGAACTTAAAAAAAGAATAGACAAGTTGACAGGGAGACGACGACTTATTTTCATGACGTTCACCATAAAGAAATACATACAGCAATAAGAACTACTCTTCTTTTAACTAATACTGTAATTTCACTAAGCATTTAAAGCATTTTAATTTTCATCATTATCATTCATATACTGGATGAATATCAGTAAATAAACTCAGCATCTTAACTACAGAAACTGCTTCATTTATTAAAGGCCTGGGGCACTTATCACCAGCTTTGTGACCATCACCATTTTTTATAATGATGGATAAACATACAATAATTTGGTGTAGTTACAGAGTGTGATCTAATACCTCACGAGCGGGTGAGCTTGTGTGAGGTGTCTTATGATAACTCCGATTAATGACCAAGACTCGTGACACAGATAACCAAGAAGAGAACATAAGGAACGTCTATATGGTAGTTTCAGGCCGCTGCATTACGGGCTGAAACTGGTGTTCATTTGCAACTGGAATTTGGAGACTCATTTGTAGACAACCTACATTGCTGAGCTTAATTTATTTAATGGGCCCGGCTTGGTCCTGTTTCCGTTACAAGTTTATAATCAACAGAGCCTATTATAGAATTAGTCAATACATTAACCACATTTCTTATGTCAAAATACCGGCTGAGAAATAGTGCATCCATTCATAAATACTTTCTTTTGCACACACTTATTATATTTGCCACAAACTTGCAATACAACAGAGATAAACTCGCGTTCATGTTGTGTAAGATTTACTTTACATTACTTGAAAGTCACGTCAACATTTATGGCTACTGTTATGCTTGTACCTCAGTCTGGGCCTTAATTATACGAATAGTGGCCAGAAGTGTTAATTAGTTATTGTTTTAAGAGGATAAACGTTGAATGGTGATTGATGAAAAGAGTACTCACGATATTGCAGATGAGCATGAAGGAGGGAGCCAGCCTGGTCGCTATACCGATAGATACGAGTCTCCCGAAGGCGAAGGTCCCCCAGAAGCAGGCGTTGAGGTAGGCTGCTTCGTTCGAAGACATCCCGGCGATGCTCTTTACGGCGAAGGAGAAAACGTAACCCCCATAGCCTGCCTGTAAGGAGAATATACAGTATATAGCCCCAGACGGAATAACATAAACAAAAGACAGCGAAACTTCTGACTTGATTTTCCATATCTGACAAGTTTGTCACTCCTGTGGAGCACTTTATACCTACCACTAGACGAGAAGGACACTTCATACACCTACCACTAGAGGGTCACCGCGTTACTTGTTAATTCTAGAGACCTCTAAATAATGTGGCACTATTGAGGAATTTATAAAGTACAATACTGAAATATGGTACATTGCTGCCTACAGTGAGAGAGTATCCAGACCAACTACAACATTAAACTAGTGTAAAATAAGAATCTGAACAGCATCTTGATATAAGAAAACATCTAATATTAAATTTTGGTTTTACTGTGTTAGCACTTCTTGAAACACCTTGTCAAAAGCTACAAAGTTAGCTGCTAGACCAGTGGTTCTCAACCTGTTGTAGGCTCTGGGCCATATTTGTCATTGTAAATATAGTGGAGGGCGCCAAAACTTTGAATCTTTATTCAAGAAAAAAATCACACACACACACACACATATATATATATATATATATATATATATATATATATATATATATATATATATATATATATATATATATATATATATATATATATATATATATATATATATATATATGTATATTCACTTCGTGTAATTCACCTTCAGGGGTCTGTACTCACCCCTGAAGATGTGAATTACACGAAGCGCTTGGGAACTTCGTGTTTTCTTTTTCCTTGTGGTTATCAGCATATACCTGGATCACGCGCACCTACAGTGATTTATTTGCATATATATATATATATATATATATATATATATATATATATATATATATATATATATATATATATATATATATATATATAGAGAGAGAGAGATTATTAATTGCCATAAATGATATTTAAACATAAATTCAGGTGTTCATTTCCATTGTTAAGTTACCCACAACCATTTTCTCTGAGCTGCAACTGTTAACTAAGATATTTATGGTGAACTAAAATATACCCATCCGTCAGCGTTATTTACATATTGAATCATTATATCGTCACTACATATACATTTTTTTAACAAAACATATGAGTTTTAACGTAATTTCCAATGATCGTGTGTGCTATAAACGCGGAAAGAAAGAAAGGTTTGGTTATTATGACAGAGACATCGTTTGTTCTTACTGTTATTTTCCTGGTTTACCTGACGGGCAGCGTTGTAAAAAGTACTGGACTTTGTTATTTAAGTTAAAGTATTGTTACATTGGCAAAATGTTACTCAAGTAGAATTAAATATATTCAAAGTTCAATGTATTTAAGCAGAAGTAAAAAAGTATATCTTATTCATAAAGTACTCAAGTACTTTAAGAAAAAGTAACAACAAATTAATTATTAATCCTCTGAAATATTAAAATAAATCCAGTTAATTAAAAAACTAGTTTACTAAAGATAAAAATAAAAGACCATTACACATATTTATTTTGGAATCTTCTGGTAACTGTTACATAATCTATAGGTCTACCAACCACCCTCTGCTTGAAGCTTTGTCCTCTTGAGTTGGTTTGATGGTGTGACACATCATCATCATCATTATTTTACGGCTATTTTCCAAACTTACGTGGGTTAGCTGCGGTTACCTGCTGGCATCTCTCCACGGTGCACGGTCTCTTGTCATATTCTAACTAATGTCATTACCTACAACCGTGTCATTCTTGGCTTACCCTTGGCTCTCCTATTAGCCCAATTTGTCTCATTCGTTCTCTCCACTTACCCAAACACATCTCAGCCTGACAATTTTCTCAATACCCAGTAGCCCTCTTATCTCTGAATACAGCCTTCTGTTTTTCAGTGTCTCAATATGCATCCATCTCACTATTCTCATTTCATCTCACTCAAGTCTACTTATGTGTCGTCCTTTTAAATTGTCCGTGTTTCACAGCCATACAGCATCACACTTCCCACACCAGCCATAAGTTATTCATCTCGTAAAATATATCTGGGTTGACGCCTTCCATCCCTTCGAAGATTTTGAATGTCTCTATGACATTCACCTCTCGTGTGATGTCTGAAGAGTTGTCATACCTACGGCCCTCAGTCAGCTTGAATAATCGAGAAGATTTAGGTTGCGTTTACAGTGAGGCCGGATTCGAACAATTCTGGCGAAAATTGTCCCACAGTATCGTCTAAAAAAAAATACAAGGAATAACTCATTGCCTTACTATACTTTCTGGGAGAGCCGTTCACACGGCCACACCGGATTATGTCAGAATCTGCAACGGGTTATCCTTTTCCGTTTTTTTATATTATTTATTCCAAACGAATGTGTCGGGCAATTTTCACGAGAATAGTCCGATGCCGACCTCTGTGTAAACGCGCCCTTACGGTGGTTTAGGAATAATACCATGCGCTCAGCATTGTACCTTTTCTAGAGTTATTATGTCTTTCCGGAGGTATGGTCTCTATGCCTGTATAAAGTAGTCCAGAAGGGAGCGTGTGAGAGTAGCGAGAGACTTATAAAGTTGAAAGAACTATTTCTTGTCTATATATTCGAAGACAATAGTTATGATTCCCAGTGTTTGTTTGTTTGTTTTTTCACTGCTTCCTCTTATCGTTACACTGCTTTCAGTGATTGGTGTATCGCGGTGCCTAAATTCTTCTTTATACCTACAGTTTCGAAGAAAGTGTAACTATGCCTCACATGCAGAAGCTTACATTTTGCTATGCTATTTCGCTATGTTAAAAATAATATGTCAGTCATATGACCCTTTGAAAAACTCGTTCAGATTTTTTGGCATAGTTGCGATATTACACTGACTTGTCACCTGTAGGTCATTTTACAGAGTGTAACCCACCTGTAGACCATCATAGAGGAATAGCATAATAGCGGTGAGGAAAGTGACAGTGATGACCTGCTCCTTAGTAACAGCTGGGCGGTCCTCAGTCTCCCCAATGCTGGCCTTGCTCGCTGCCCCGGCCGACGTCTTCATTTCATACGTCTCGTTGCCAGCCTCCACGACGCCACCAGACAGCTGACTCTTATCTCCTGCGTCCAGCCCCATCACCTCCCGACACACCAGCGCCATCAACAGCAACACCACCGGCACCTGTACAGAGACAAGGAGGAGATGTAACTTAGTACTCGAGGAGGAGCAGTTGAAACAGTCCTGGAGGAGGAGGAGGAGGAGGAGGAGCAGGAGGAGCAGATATAAAATAATACTGGAGGAGGAGAAGGAGGAGATGTAACATTGTATTGGAGGAGGAGGAGATGTAACATAGAACTGGAGGAGGAGATGTAACTTACTGTAGGTACTGGAGGAGAAGGAGGAGGAGATGTAGCATAGGTACAGGAGGAGGAGGAGATGTAACACATTACAGGAGGAGGAGATGTAGCATAGTACTGGAGGAGGAGATGTAACATAAGTACAGGAGGAGGAGATGTAACATATTACAGGAGGAGGAGATGTAACATAGTACTGGAGGAGATGTAACATAATACAGGAGGAGGAGATGTAACACAGTACTGGAGGAGGAGAGTGTAACATAGTACTGGAGGAGGAGGAGATGTAACACATAGGTACTGGAGGGAGGAGAACATATAACATAGT